GAAGGAATCTCTGAGACTTGACTCCAGACCAACATGACAGCTGCACAGAGTTGATGCAGATTATTCTTCAGTTAAGAACACGTTTGAACAAAATCAAGTGGTTACTTGAACTGGGATTCATTGACTATGGAGGCTGTTTAACTCCAAAGCACTGTCAGTAAAGATTCACAAACCAGTTTCCTTTTTTTAATCACATTATGACACAGCGTTTGTTCTAATGATCAGTACCAGTGTGATAATATTTGTACTTCAGTTTCAGATCTCAGAATGCAGCCACTTGTTCACCTGTCCTTTCCTCCTCCTCCTCCTCCTCCACCACCTTTATGTTGTGACTAAGTCTTAGTCGACAATAGTTAATTTAAATTCTCAAACTGAAACTTGTCTTTTTTTATTTTTTTATTTTAATGTTTACTTTTGCCCTTTTACTTTTGAGAACTTGATGTAACACATGTTGGATTCAATATAATTATCTCTGAAAGGGACTCTGGATCATTTCTCTACTTAAATTAAAGGTAGATAAACTATAATTAAATAGACTTAATTATTAACTTATTTCATAGCAGACAACGTAGTTAGTAAAACAATAAATATTTTTGATAATTTTGTTCAGTGTATAGATAAAAGCCAAAATAATGCAAACAGAGAATTGTTTTTTTTTATAATTTAGTTTTTAAAAAAATGTTAAAGCATTTTCAATTTACCCATAAACTTTGCCAAGACTTAAATTATTAAAATGAAACACTATGAAAACACAAGTCGCGGTATCACATACCACTACTTTGCATTGAGTCTGTTACCGCTACAGTGTTAGCTCAGTGCATATTTCTAATATGAAAACAAACAAATGTGTGTTGTTACTAAAATTGTGGGCATTAGCTTCTCAATATGAATGAAAATAATTACTTTGTACCTCTGAGGTTCACAGAACAATGGTTGGGGAAATACCTGAGAATGGGTCTGGAAAAGTGCCAAGCCATCGATGACAAAGGGAAAAAAATGCCAATTATTCCTGTTTCCTTGCTGACTTCTTGCTGTGTTCATTGAGCCATGCATAACTATTCTGCCTCCTTCTCTAGAAAGAGCCGCCATACGAGTCAGTTAGTGCGTAAGTCAAAAAAATTAACCGAAAAGCCAAAAAGTTTAGATTTTCTATGTACCGCATTTCCCAGACTATGTGTCCCTCCGGATTATAAATTGCACCAGTGCCCTCTAACGGCTGTCAGTGTGAAAATAACGAACATGTGAAATTATACATTTTAATATATGAGTTGCACCCGAGTCGTAAACCCAGCCAAAGGGTGAAAAAGAGTGTGATTTATTTGTACCAGGTACAGTTGTTAACTTACTGACCCAATAATCCAGAAAAGAATATTGTGGCCATTTGCACTGACGTAAAGAGGGATATGTTGGTTGAGAATGTGTGAAAACACTGTGATTCTTCCTTCATTTTCACATCTTTTACTTTCTATTTCTCTCCCATCTTTTCTGTTCTGATGATTTTATTCAGTGACTGTTTCATGCTCAGAGGCAAAATTCAATTGATTTGTAGAAATAGAAGACTTTATGAACTTCTTCTCTGATGACGTCTGCACAACTCTTGCACCCCAAGGCTCCAGCTCAACCTTTTTCGTCCTGTCTGAAAACCCTTGCTGTGACACTGAGTACTGAGCAAATGACTGATAAGCCCTTTGACACGGAAATGTTTGACACGTTCCTCGGGGCCCAGACTAAAGACTTCCCTAACAAGCACTCACACACTCACCAAGGGCATATTAAATCCATACTTTGGCACCTTTCCTAATTACGGAGAAGATACCCGTAGCCAAGGGCCTCGTCCTAACCTGTGCTGAACTCTCCTCTGCAGTGCTCGAGTCCCTGGAGTATGGAATGATATATGAAATGCAGAATTCAAATTAGGCTGACGGAGAGCAATTACAATTAATTACACAGCAGGGTGTAGGATCTCGTACTCATTGGAGAAACGGCGTCAAAACCCACATATGAACATTTTTAACCAGATTCAATGAAGGTTTTGCTTTCTACAGCACACACCTCTCGTTTTGTCTTCTTAACTTCCTCTTCATCACATCCATGTGATGCTTTTATGCTCACCAGAACATGGGTCTGTGATAACTCTCCATCTGTCTTCCTAGATTACTTACTTTTTCTCTATTCCCATCCCTCTGCCTCGCCCACCACCTTTTTCCGTGTGTGCTGTGCTACACGTGCATTAAGAATGAATGGTTATTTTCACTGCGTTGCCATCAGTGGGATCTAATTTATAAAGCCCATGGACTGGAGAGGCCTATTAAAAGCCTATTTACAGTCAAATGGCAGGATCACCCAAAGCAGTGACAGTGCCTTAACTGTTGTGAACATCAACCAAATATTTACAAAGTCACTTTTTTTCCATGCGCCCCAGAGGCACTGGCGAGTAAACATGAAACAGTTTGATGTTCTGATGTGGATTCATGTGTTGCATTTGAATTGCCGAATTTGTTGTAATGTGAAACATGTCTGCAAAAGGTTTTTATTGGTCAGACAGAAGGTTCCAACAGCAGAGAGAGGGGAAAAAAGACGTTATGTATGACTTCTTCTGCATTTATTGACAATGATCACTCTGTATTTGTAACATCCATGAATCAAAGTCTGTTCCTTCATTCTGTCTATAGACCTGCTCCTCTTAATTATTGAATAGCAAACCAGGCAGCAAGGTAAGTTAATAGATATGTGGAGACCAGCATCAGTCCAATGAGTTACTGTGTCCTTTCACTGCATCTCTATCTGCCACCATCGCCTGCTGTAATCAACTTGTCATCTTAAAATGTGATCCTTTTTTTTACATCTCACACTATTGGCTTATTCAGCTCCCTCTTCACATTATAGCAGAATATCTATGCACTGATGTGATGCACTTGGAAAATCAATTATAACACATTTCCCCACTTATCTTTACTTCTTCACTTTCTTCCTTATCACTTTGTTTGTGTGCGAGCACATCTGAGCCATCAAGTGGGCTTTGTGTCTTGTATCGCTGCAGGACATCTTTGTGGGTTGAGCACCAAATTCAATCTCGGCTCCCCAATCAGAAGTGTTAAAACTCATCCGCCAATGCAGTCTTAAAAAAAAAAAAAAAAGGGAGATTCGGCTCTGCTTGGTCGGATAAATCTTAGTAGCTCAACCTTTTTATCCCGGACCCCCCAGTGGCCCACATTAGAGCCCGCAGATGGCAAGTGGAGATTTAGGAGCTGCAATCCATCAATGTAATGTAGGCTGAACCACTAGACAACCATTGTGCTAACCTCTACCAGTTGGACTGTACCTTCTCACTACAGGCCTCCAGCCAAACGTGGCAGCCTTGAGTAAAACTTTGGCGACTGTTAGGGTTCTTCATGCCTAGTCACAAAATCAGTGCCTTTTCTGATTCACCAACATAATTGCACATAAACTAAGCTGCTCCCATCTGACAGAGCTGTCTACAAACCTTTTTTGGAGAAGTTAAAGAAGTTATACTTTCAAAAATAAGTCATGTGATATTTATAAATTTCTCTGTGAGTAATAATAATAATAATAAAAGAAACAAATGCTGCAAATCTGACCATAAATGTTTACCCAACACATGGTTTGCAATAATTATACAAGGCATCTGATTATGTTAAGGCATGCCCAAACTGTTCCTCAAAGGGCTGTGTGGCTGCAGGTTTTTGTTCCAACCAACCAAGAGCACATACTGTAGTTTGACCAATCAGCTGTCTGAAGACTGAGACCAGTTGATTAAACCAACGAACAAAAACCTGCAGCCACAGCGGCCCTTGGTGTAACAGTTTGGGCACCCCTGAATGGGTCACTGTACAGGCTATTGTGATGAAGACCCCTGATATTAACAACAACACTAGGTTACATGAAATTACCTTATGTTTTATCATTATATCTTAAAGCTGTGAAAACATTTGTTTTGTTGTTTTTGTTTGTTTTTTTTTTCAGTTTCAGGCATTTCAATATGTAAAAAGAAACATTTTAAAATCCGAGTAAAAATTAAACCTTTAACTAAACTTGCATGGAAAACTACTAATATCATTACATTTTTACAACAATATTCAGTTTTATTTTCCTTTCCTAAATGAAAGAACACTTGAAGGGAATTGATTCAAGTCTTAGACAAGACAAAGAAGCAGGTGCCAAAAAACATTACCCAAAATTATACCTTAAAGAGATTCTCCCAGGAACTGGTAGAAAACATATTTCTGTCATGACTGCGGCAGCCCGTCAATTAGCCTGATCAGATTCACCTGCTTCCACCGGCTGACGCTGATGATCTGGCGGCGCTCACACTTACATCTCTGTCCGATCGTCTCTTCTGCTCGTGTTGGTTGGACGCTCTCGCTGTTGGCAAACATTGGGAAACTTCCAGCGCTGTCTGAGACATATCTGTTTCCACACCAAGCCTCGTCATCTCTGGTTCCGAGCCATTTTCGCTGGTTCGCGGATAATTACGCCGTTTGTTCGGTTACGCTCTTCTACCTCTGGCTCAACTCTTCCGCCTCGTCTTTCTGAGGGATCCCGCAGTGGTGACGTCATCCCCGAGGGGATTCCCTAGTTCGAAAATAATTTAACGAACTGTCCTTTTTTTTCGAGCGAGGACCACTCTTGTTTCATCTTTGCTAAAGAACTTTATCTTTTTAAACTGCGCGAGTGCCGAAGTAAAGAGACTTAAGCGAATTTTTTATTGGACTATTTTTGTTTTTGAGATTCATCTGCTTCGAGTGGAGATTGCCTTTGTTTGAAGAAACCATCCATCCCTCGTCGTCCGCTTATCCGGGGCCGGGTCGCGGGGGCAATAGTCTGAGCAGGGACCAGACTTCCCTCTCCCCTGACACTTCCTCCGGCTCCTCTCGGGGGGCCCCGAGGCGCTGCCTGGGTCTTCCCCTAGGTCTCCTCCCAGAGGGACAGGACCCGAGCACCTCCCGAGGGAGGCGTCCGGGGGGCATACGATGTAAATGCCCAAGCCACCTCAGCTGACTCCTCTCGATGTGGAGGAGCAGCGGCTCTACTTCGAGCTCCTCCCGGGTGACAGAACTCTTCACCCTATCTACAGTTAGGCCCAAAAGTATTTGGACAGTGACACAATCTTAATGATTTGGGCTCTGCATGCCACCACATTGGGTTTGAAATGAAACAACTACAACAGAATCGAAGTGCAGACTTTAAGGTTTAATTCAAGGGGTTGAACAAAAATGATTAAACATGTAAGAATTGTAGCTGTTTGTATACAAACTTGTCACGTGTGGGCATCGCAGGAAGCAGGCAGGACCCAAATGCAGTACTGGTGAGACTCTTTCTGGTGCAGGAAGTTTTATGTACAAGGTCTAGTGATGGGACGATGATACCTCAAGGAGTGTATTGACACACTAAACAAACTGTGTTGGCACTGTATTGATACTGTGTTGGTCACCCAATAGTGACTCCTGCAGTAGTTATAAAATCATTGCAGGTAAAGAAATTCCTTGTTCGTGTAAATGCTAAAACTGAGTTGGTATGTAAAATATAGCAAATTAGAGTAAAAATTCAGAGTTACAATTTTTTAACTTATGTGCACATTTGTCAACTTAACTGTTAAATCATATGAAATAAAAGACAAAAAAGTGATTAGTTCATGAATTTTTATTGAGAAACAAAAGTTTTTGGAGTGTCTTTGCTCCAAGGCGATTTCTCCTCTTACACACCAGCTCCCCAGCCTTGGAAAATACTCTTTCGCATGGTACAGACGATGATGGTGAGCAGAGAGTTTTAAGTGCAAGTTGATGAAGATGTGGGTATATTTTCTGGTTCCATTTCCAATATTGCAAAGGATCTTGGTTTCTGGGTGTGTTTGTTTCTGCCAGGTAGCGTTGGACTTCAATAATGGAGTCAGCTGTTGCGTTCCTCGTCTTCTGGGTCTCTGCAACCTCCATATCTAAAGTTTTCCAGAGATTGTGCCCTAAAAAAATAGTTAATCATTACTTTATTATCACATGATATATCATATCACAAAGTGCCACAGAAATGTATTTTCATACCTGAACTGGGTTCTGACCCATGTGAAGAGCTAGGCTCTTCTTCTCTTGGGTCAGGCTCTTGGCTCCTCATTTCTTCTGCACATTCTGACTGCAGTCTCTTCACCGCTTCACTTGCCTTTTGCTGACTAACAAATCCATTCTTTTTAAATCTGGGATCTAACAGAGTTGCCAGAGTCATCCCACTGAGAGATTCCATGCTGCAAATGGCGTCAGTTAGCCGCTTCCTCAGGTTTTCAGCCAGTTGCTGAGCAGCTGTTTTTGTCACTGTTGTGGCCTGACGTTGAAGCTCAATGTGGAGCATTCTCATCATGGGAATGACCTTCGACCCAGAGACCCTTTTTTCCTCAGACAGTTCTCTTGTAGCTTGGTCAAAAGGAGCAAGAACCCTGAGCATCTCTTCAATGATCTGACATTCTTCTGGAGTCAGTGGAGTGATGTCAGGTTTTAATGAGGCCAGTGACACCCAGACTGCCTCCTTCTGCTCAGTCATTCTTTCAAACATTTGGTAGGTACTGTTCCATCGTGTTGGCACCTCGTTTATTAATTTATGGCCCGGTGTTCCCAGCTGTTGCTGTATTTGAGTGAGCTTCTCTTTAGCAGTCACGCTCGATCGAAAGTATGTCACAATGTGTCGTGTTTTGTTGCGTATTTCAGTTATTGTTGGGATTTGATCACATGATTTTCTCACAATTAAATTCAGGGAATGGGCTATACAAATGGTATGCCGTATTTGCAGCATTCGAGCACATGCAGTCATGTTTGCTGCTGCATCAGTGACAAGACACCTGACCTTTCCTGCTATGCCCCACTCCTCCATGAGGCTCCTTTTAACCGTGGCAATGTTTTCTGCAGTGTGTTTCTGAGGAAAATGCTGCACTGCCAAGACTGATGAATGGAGTTCATGGCTTTCTTTGTCCACATAGTGGCCAGTAACAGCTAGATATGCCTCCATATTCATAGACGTCCACATATCAGCTGTTAAAGTAACAGCAACGGCACTCTGGAGGTCCTTTTTGGTTTTCTCCTTTTCCTCATATCTCTGGCTCAGCAAGTCCTTGATGGTCTGAAAATAACCATACAAATACTGTTACACCAATAAAATATAGTTATATAGTTAGTACAAACATATAATAAAAATTCTTAAACATACCTTCCTGCTTGGTAGAGCATACGAGGGTACAATAAGCTTCAGGAGCTCCCTGAATCCCTCATTTTCAACAAAGCTGAGTGGCTGACAGTCTTTGATGATCATATTGACCACTGCCTCATCCACTGCTTGCTTGTTAGGAACTGCAAGCCAAAAGGAACTATTTTGTCAAAAGCTTAATAAAAGGACTGTAATTTTTACAAACAACATCAAATAGACATAAGACGACATGGTGGTGTAGTGGTTAGCACTGT